CAGCCACATACAGTTCCGTGAGGCAAATGTGTTTCGCATTATTTAGATTTGTAGAACATACATTTAGAACACAAATAGAAAATGCTCGAGTGAAGTGTAAGAAGAAAAGAAAATTATGAAAACTACTGTGAATTTTCCTACCCAAACAATTGAAAACTTCATGTCCAAAATGGCCAAGAAAAGCCCAAATAGAAAATAAGAATCCTAAACAAAATGCTTGAAATGTTCTATTAAATATTAAGGAAAGATAATAAACTTATTTAAAACTTTAATATTTTCAATTTGATAAAAGGAATTGTGTAGAAAATGTATTTTAATTTTACATTTTAACTTATTATTAAAATAGACTTTGTTTTTTATATAGTTGTTGTTGTTATTATGTGCAATTTAGTCGCCTGCAACTCACAGCGACCTTATGAACATTAGCTCTGAATCTTGCCCTGTCCAGAGCCAATTTCACTGTCTCTGACAGACCTAATCCCATTTGTCTAGTCACTGACTCTATTAATTTCATCTTGGGTCTTTTTCTCCTGCACAATCCACCCTTGCAAGCATGATGTCCCATTCCAAGGACTGGTCCCTCCTGGCCATATGCCCAAAGTATGTGAGACAGAGACTCAAAATCTTTGCCTCCAAGGAGCAGACTATTTTTAGACTCTCCAGGATAGACCTGTTTGTTCTCCTGGCAGACCATAGTATGTTCAAGACTCTTTTCCAACCTCACAACTCAAAGGCATTTATTCTTCTTCTATCATCCTTAGTTATTGTCCAGCTCTCGGATGCATAGCAAGTAATTGTGAAGACTGTGGCCTGGATTAGGCACACATTAGCCTCCAGAGTGACATTGTTGCTCTTCACTACTCTAGAGAGGTTTGATTGAGGGCACATTCTTCACAATTATGTGCTATGTATCAGAAAGCTATGACTATGGATGAAAAAAGGAGAATTGATGCCTTTGGGCTATGGCGTTGGAGAATAGTATTGAATATACCAAGGACTGCTAAGAGAACAAACAGGTTCATCCAAGATAGGGTGAAACCAGGCTGCTCCTTGGAGGCAAGGATTCAGAGGCTCAGTCTGTTTTACTTTGGGCATGTTGTAAGGAGAGACCAGTCCTGGGAGAGGGATATTATGCTTGGGAGGGTGAAGGACTTTGTTTTTTATATAGGCAAATATTTTTCACATTATTTAAATTTGTAGAACATATATTTAGAACACAAATAGAAAATGCACAGGAGAGGAAAACCCTGGATGAGATGGATTGACTCCGTGACTGGAGTAATGGGGGTGTGTCGGAGACAGTAAGGTTGGCTCAGGATAGAGCAGGGTTCAAAGCTGTTGTACATAGTGTCACACAATAAGTCACAAGTGACCCAATGACACATAACAACAACAACAATAAATACTATGTGACCAGATAGTATAAATTATATGGCCAAGATTCAAATGATAGTCTATATCATATAAAGATGACACAACCTTGCTTCCTGCAGGTGAGAAGGTGTTGAAACACTGACTGCACAAGATCAGAAAATATAACCTTCAATATAGATTACATCTCAACATTAAGAAGGCAAAAATCCTTTCTGGGAGCTGATAGGCAAAATTATGAAAGACTTAATTTGTCAACAATTTCATCTCATAAATCCACAGTCAAAACCACTGGAACCAGCAGTCAAAAAAATAAAAAGAGGCAGTGCATTGCAAAAGTATTCTGTCAGGAACCTTCCCAAAATACTGAGAAGTAATGTTCTAATTCAAATACTAAGGTTTTGCCTGATTCAGACCAGGGTCTTTCCAATCACTCGCTGTGCCTCTGAGAGCTGGACAAAGAACAAGGATGACAAAAAAAAAAAAGAAAAAATTGATGTCTTTGAGTTGAGAAATTGGAGAAAATTACTGAATATCCCATAGATTGCCAAAAAGAACAAATAAATATGTCTTGGAGAGAAGGCTATAAGGACTAAGAATGGCTCTTTCACTCATCCTTCTAGACTAAAATATGTCTTGGAGAAAGTGCAGAATGAGTACAGTTTAGAGGCAAGGATGGTGAAACTTTTACTCATGTATTTGGGCATGTTCTGAGGAGAAGCTCTAGTGGCCTAGTGGCAAGAAGCTGCACTCTAATCCCAAAGGCACGTGATTCAAATCCACCAGCTGCTCTGCAAAATAAGTATGGGCATTCTCTTTCTGTGCTATTAACTACATCTAAAAACCCACTGAAGGGTCAGCTATGGGTCAGTTCTGACTTGATGGTAAACAACTACAACAATTCTTTAGAAAAGGACTTCATGCTGGAAAGGGTGGCAGGTCAGTAAAACTGATGAAGAGCTCAGTGACGTGGATTAGCACTGTGACTGTTGCAGTGGTCTCTTGAATGTCAGAGGTGATGGGAATGGCACAGGAAGGGCAAGGCTCAGATCTATTGTTCATAGTCTCGCTATGAGTCATACTTGACACGATGACACCCAATAACACACACACACACACACACTCTGTTTATTTACAGTAGGCAAAGTGTTCCAATTACTAAACATAGTCGCTTTGGGGCTGAAACTATTGGGAATAAATGTTAGCAAAGAGATTCCCTCAGTTCAAAATGAAATCTTTAAATATAAGTTCTTTGAGGGTCAAAATCTAGTACTATATGTTCTTGTAAAAGACTAATAGCTTTGTTGATAATTTGACCTGAAGCAATTTTGAGCAAATCAGAATCTTATCCTGTTTCTTACTGAGTTTTGTCACATTTAGATGTACTTGCTTTTTAAGTTCTTACAGCGCTTATCCTTCCAATAAATGTTCATTGAACATCTTTTGTATATTAAGCATTTTGCTACATACTGAAGACAAAACATCATCAAAAACTTTACATTCTAGTAAGGCATAATATGAATGCATATAGAATTGATTAAAATAAGATAAGTAAAAGAAGAGACACAGAGCTAAGTTGATTCTAAGAAGAAAAGCTAACCAAACTTGGCTCACTCAAGACCGCAGAGAAAGTTTCCATCAGTCAGGTGCATGGAAGGTGAGCTGAGCTGCGAAGGACCGCAAATGGTAATGGAGAGAGATGAAAAGTATAGCAGGTTCAAGAAATTGCTTGTGATTCCTTCTGCTTTCATACATAATAGAGACCAGGAGTTATCCAATGGTATCACTGCTCTCCTATCAACTCCAATATATTGCCATTGAGTCAGACCAACTCACGGCTGAGCCTCCAGTGGGTTTTCAGAGGCAGTAAATCACCCAGGAGGAAACTACCCTTCTTTTGCGAAGAAGTTACTGTAGCACAGCAGATTTTAATCCAGAGACTTTCTTTGCTTGATTCTCAATGCTCACCCATATTTATTTGTACATAGAGTTAATTGTAGAACATATCATTTTAATTTTTACTCACCTGTTCAAAATACTCTGCAAATATATATATATATATTATTTCTTAAATTTAAGCCCATTTGACTAACTAAAATGAGAATAGCATCCACTACCATGAGAAATTAATCTATAAAAATAAAATACATTGTATAAAAATGGAGTTGGTTATTTATTGTCAAAATGTCAAAATATATTAGATACCAATCAAACTGATAGATAATATTTTATATATATCATATTTCCATAGCTGTAGAAAAGTAAATTCTTGAGTAGATCTACTTTTATCATTCAAGCCCTGAAATTTATCTCCTGTTTACGTGATTTGTTTTTAATTATGAATGTATAAAATATACAGATGTTGGTGCTTTTGCAGTTGGTAAAATACTGAATCACAGATTTTTCTCTAACTATATATTTACTAGGGCACTGCTGCTGGTCTACTGGTTATGGAGTGACTCTGTCAGCCCAAAGGCTGGTGGTTCAAATCCAGCAGCTATCTACAGGAGAAAGATGTGTATTGTCTTTTTGATTCCCAACCTCTGAAAACGTGGTGGGATTCAGCTATCAGTTAGTCCTGACTCTACAGTACATAGACACAATAATAACATGTATTTACTTGGAGTTATAGATATTATTTCAATAACGCTCAGTATTTTCTCCTCAATTGCTATCAGCTAATACTCATGTCTAAGGCTTTTTCTAACTTATTATTATCATTAATATGCTCTTTTATTTTAGTAAAGTATTTGGCTTATTGACATTATTACCCATGAGTATGATTTTTTTAATACAAAAGTGATAATATATGAAAGAAGAATCTTCCCCTTCGGAGTAAAAGCTAACATTTCCAGATGACACACATTTGGTTCCGTTTACATAGCTTATAGTTTTTCACACCTGTCTAGCGTTTCTGAAGTTTAAGTCATACAATTCACATTTTGTTATTTGAATTGCTCACAAACTGTTTTCTTTTATCAGCGTACAGAAGGGGAAATTGGGGAAAATTGTCAATATATCATCCTTTGTGCAGATAAGCTGTGAAAATGACATTATTTAATAATACAGGGTTGCCATCTAGTGGTAGTTAGTAGTACTGTTTTTCAAGTTGAGGGAAAAAAGATTCTTTTTCCACAATATTTTCAGATAACAAAGTTCTAAAATTATTTAAATTATCTCAGTTTTTAAAAAAGTTAAAAACACAAAACTGTTGTAATTTTAAAGACATTTATTCTTTATATCAGTTATATGATGATTCTCTTAATACAGATGTACAATTTCCATTATGATTTATAGTTTCAGAAACCCTTGGAAGGTCACTATGAATCTAGACCTCCGTGCGTTAGAGTTTAGTGGTGCTTTAGTGAAACAAGAACTAATTGACTGACATGTATAAATTATGTTGCCCCTCTTTCTATTACCAAAGGTGGTGATGGTGGTGGTTGTTATGTGTCTTTGAGTCTGAACCAGTGAGTAAATCAGAGCGGGTAAAGCACACAGGAGGAGATTGCCCATCTTTCTCCCAAGGAGAGACTGGTAGATACAAACCATATGCATTACTGGTAGCAGCACAATGCCTTGAGGACTGCACCAAACACGTACCGACTTACTCTTGTACTTTTGTGCAGGTAATGAATTGTTCACTGGACTCTACAGTGACTACTGGGGCAGAGATGCTGCTATCTTCCGGAGCCTGGGCCGGCTGACCCACATTCGTACAGAACATGACGATGAGCGTCTACTAAAAGGTGAGGGTGAGGGAAAGAGCATGTAAATAAAAAATGTGGACTTATGAGAAATTTTGCCTTTTTATGGTAATAACAAAAGAAATAGAATTTACCATTTGTACAAATTTCAAAATATTTTAGTAACAATATTTTTAATTAAACTAATTCATATGAAATAAAATTCCATTCCACAATGGCTTGAATTAGTAATAAGTTCCACTTACTTTCATAGTAATAATTATCAATTAGGATTTATATGAGGAAAATAGAGCAAAGTAAATATATGGAAAAGGACAAGCTATCTTTCAATGAATGGTTAGTTGGTTATACTTAGTGATTGGCAAAAACTATTTCATTAATTCATTGTTTGCTTTGCTTTGCTTATTTGAATGGAATCACAATCCAGAGGCAAAACAAAAGTTTGGAAAGTCACTAGACTCTCATGAACATAGAATTCTTTGGAGTACTGCAGCCTTGGTATTAGTGACCTATGGGTCACTCATGCAGTGTCCTGTATATTGAGAATGACTTGGCAGCTGTTACTTTAGGGGTATATCTATGGAATAAATATTTTATGCCAACTGATATTCTAATTTTTAGTGATTTAAATGCACAATCATTTATTTCATATACCACACCAACCAAAGGCTAACTCCATTTAAATTCCTGATATTATAAACTCAAAAAGCTAAAATAAATTTTTACTTTTAAACAAAACTTGTCTTCCATGACCAGTTTAGTCTAGACTAGTAGGTAATTTATGAATACAAAAGAGGTAATGAAAGACTTCTTACTAAAACATACAACTTATATTTATAGTGGCTTTCCTATATAAAGGAATGAAATTTACTGAAATTATCATAATACCCACTATACCGTTCTTTGAACGCACATAAACTTTGTCATATACCTTGTTTTACAATTATTTTTCCTCCTTAACTCCTTTTTTTAGTTAAATTTTCCTCTAATATTTCTAGAAAGATATTGATTCTCAAAGGGAATGAAATAAGCCATATGCTTCAGAATATTTCGTAAAAGTTTTCAAGGACAGTATTTTATACTTTTATAAAATAGTGAGGATTAAATTTAAGCACCCCAGTGATTTATAATTTATTAGAATAACTTTGTTAGTGTTTTCTCATCTCTATTATAACTTTTCCGTTTGTTGAACTTTCTATAGAACCCAAATTTGTAGGTTCATATATGATTCCTGACAATGAAGACCGAGATGACAACAAAGTGTACTTCTTTTTCACTGAGAAAGCCTTGGAAGCAGAAAACAATGCCCACACAATTTATACCAGGGTGGGCCGCCTTTGTGTGGTGAGGCTCAAACTTTCTCATGCCTTAAACATGTTTAGTTCAAAATCTTTGGTCAAATTCTTCTTAACTTTAAAGTAAATTTTCTTGTTAAAATATTTTCTAATGTTCTATGTACAATTAAAATTTACTAAACCAAATATATCTTGTATATATAGTAAAAGTTTTATCTTAAAATAGTCTTGTCTTAAAAAAAAAACAAAAAAAAAAACAGTCTTGTAAATTTTTTTAATAAATAATCTGAGGGACTGGGAAAGGATAGTCCATGGAGGCTATATTTATTTGCACACTGAAATTTGTACTTTGGAAAAAAATTAACTATTATTATATTACTTTACATTCTAAATCATTTACATGTATATGTTTGAATGATTCTGTTGGTTGATTCTAATGTCATGGAGAAAAAAACATGTCATGTTTTGATATTCCGATATAACAATTGGAAACATTCAAAACCAACTGAAATATTAACATGCTGGAAAAATCTATGAATAATATGCCAAAACGAGAGTTACTATGAAATCTAGTATTTTTAATGAGATTTAATAGTTGTTGTAAGGTGTTGTTCAGTCAACTCTGACTCATAGCAACCCATGAACAATGATTCTGAATCTTGCCTTACCCTGTGTCAACATCATCATTTCTGATATACTGAACTTCATTGTTATAGTCCCTGTGTCAGTCCAACTCACCAAGGATCTTACTCTCTTCCGCTGACCTTACATTTCCAAGCATGATGTCACTTTCCAAGGACTAATTCCTCCTAACAACATACCTGAAGTATATTAGATGAAATTCCACTATTTTTGCTCCAAAGAGCATTCTAGAAGATCCTCAACAATCTGGATTAAAGCAGTGGCTGCAAAATGATCTCAAGTGCAACAGACATTGTCAGAATGGTGTAAAATCAGGCAGGGTTCGATCTGTTATGTACAATGGCACTATGAGTGGAAAAAGACTTAATTGTATATAAACTACAGGATACTTTAGGTCCGTATGAATTATAGCCAAATTGAAGGCATTAAGAATTAAAAAACCCCAATCCATATGTTTCTATATAGACATGCATGTATACCTATAAGGTGTATAGGTTTATTTGTATCGACATATATACTGATGAGAAAGAACTGAAAATATGTATGTGTGTGTATGTCAAGCTTCCTTTTCTAAGGGGAAGGGGAAATAGATGACTTCATATTCCTGTAATAGGCAGATTGTCACTAAAAAAACATTGAAAAATTATTTCTAAGAACTGCTTAAAAGGAATATATAATTAGGCATTATTTTGATGACAAGAGTACAGAATAAGAGCTGCATAGTAAAGTGATTTGAGGGCGGGGGTGTACAACAATGAAAGAATTTTATGGTTTTTTTCAAAGAGAAAAGTGAACTGGGGAGGATGTGGGCAGGGAGTAAAATGTGCAACCAAAAATGAATGGAAATCCTAGTTCTCTATAAACTTTCATTAAAATCTAATTAAAAATTATTCATCATAAAGTCACTACTTTATATAGGAGAAAATATTGTATTAATATTTTTAAATATATAAAACATTTAAAATTGAAAAGAGTGATATTCCACTGACAAAAGAAAATTTAATTGTGTTAATTTTATTCTTCTCATCAAGTACACATCTTTTACTGTAGTGTGGAGGGAAGTTCACCACTAACCCAGAAGCAGAGCCTCCCTGAATCCATCAGCAGCTCCACATGGGAAATTGGCAATCTCTTCCTATGTGATTTACCGTCTCTTGAAAACCTGCTGCAGGGTCAGCTATGATTTGGTTCTGACTCAAGAGCAGTTGAGATGTGACAAAATGGAACGTAAGCACAAAGCCTTCTGGTGCATTTAAAAAAAGAAAAGAAAATATAAGAACATAAAATAAAAAACAGTTCCATAGTAAGTTTAATCTATGGAATTATTTAAAGATTATGTCAAATTCTCCAAGTTGAGTGAAAAAAAACAAAAACAAACAACTATAATCCCTGCTATTTACACACTAAGTACAGAACACTATTTTTGGGAAGAGTATTAGATACTTATTTTCCTACCTTTTGTTTTTTGCAGAATGATATGGGAGGGCAAAGAATACTAGTAAACAAATGCAGCACTTTCCTAAAAGCAAGGCTGGTTTGTTCAGTGCCAGGAATGAATGGAATTGATACATATTTTGATGAATTAGGTAAGTATTAACAGAAAGTGTGGTGTTAGCCTAAAGTTGGCTTTTTTAGCCATTTCCTTGGCTTCTCTGGTTTTCAGCTACCTTCACTGCGGTCACATGGTCTTGCAAATCATCAACAGCTGTGGTACTAGTATGCGAGCATGTTTCCCATATTGAAGAGCAAGGTAAGACTTGAGAGAGATTTCAGCAGGACCCTGGTGTGCATAAGACCTAGTGAGAATGAGACCCTGGTGACAAGACTGGTGATAGTGATGGAGAGATTCTGGCATTACTGTAGAGAAACTGTGACAAAGTGTAACAAGAGGAGCCCTGATATAAAGGTCACAGTTAAATGGTTTCACTGTGCTTGCCTGATAACTAAGGAGAAGCTGACTTACAACTGCTCTGAGGCAAACCTTCCTGGATGATTGAGGAAACCAGAGGCTTCTTGAATTTGTGTTGCTGAACTGAAACCAGAGCCTGGACTAATTGAGGAATTGTGTCTTGGGGCTGCTGTGCTAAAATTTGAATTTGCATTGCCTTTCCCACTCTCCACCTTACTTCCTTAATAAACCCCATTTTCACAACTGTGAGTCAACAACAAGTAAATAAACTTCATGCTGTTGATGTGTCTCTGGAGGGACTGGGCCATGGGTTATCTCCTTTCTGCTCCAGTGGTGAGGGGCTGTACTATTCTCCCTCCCTCTGCCCCTTTCAGAAAGATTATCATAGCCCTGTGGCCCCATCCCACTTTCTGCTTTCTAAGCAGAAAGTAACTTCTCTTTCTTGATAAATATGCCCTTGTATAACCCTCACTGGCTCAAGCAAATGTGGAAAACTTGGTTTCCTTTGTATGTATCTGACCCCATATCACTTAGAACCTTTAGCTAGTTTTTGCTCTTTTCACTCTAGCTAGGTCCTAATAGTAGAGATAAAGGAGTTACAGGAACCAAAACAAGCCTTGTTTTATTAACTTGGTATCAGTGTTTCTGTCCCTTCCTCATGGCTTAGTTCTCAGCCATTATAGAAAGATTTTATTGTTTTAGGCTTTCAGAATGGTTGTATATGAAATGATCATATATGAAATTTGTGTTTTAAAACTTGTAATGGTTTAGAAATTCTTCAAGACATACAATTTCTTTACATATCAAAGCTAAAAATACCAACTGATGTAGAATATATTTTTCAATTTTTCAGAGGATGTTTTTTTGCTACCTACCAGAGATCCTAAGAATCCAGTTATATTTGGACTTTTTAATACTACCAGGTAAGAAATTAAAATAATAAGAACAATTAAACAAAACACCATAGTACATTCACGCAATGGAATACTATACAGCATGCAGGAACAATGATATTGTTAATTATTACCTAACTTGGGAGGGACTGGAAAACATTATGCTGAGTGAACTAACTCAGTCCCACAAGGATAAATTTGTATAAAACCATATTGTAGAATAAGTATAAAGATCCAAGAGGGGCGGGAGAGATTGGAAGCAGAGGGATGAGGATGTGCAGGGAGAGGAAGAGATTAATCATGGGGTTGTGCAATTTGATGGGTGAGGCCGTGAAGAAAATTGAAAGTATTGTTCTTGAATGCAATATATTCAAATTTTGTAAATAAACTAGTAGAACTATAAACTAATAAACTAGTAGAAAATTTTTTAAAAAACCCACACACTTACAAAATCTCCACAATAGATGGTTCACAGCCTCCCTCTCTTCACTTCATATGTAATTTGGAAATACTGTCAATGGATTTATTTCCAGTTTTCACAATTTATTAGTTACTATTTTCTCTTTATTCTCCTGTGTTTGCCAAGGTATTTCATTTCCAAATCTGTGATGTCAATCCAAACCCTTCCTCCTGTTTTTAAAAGCATTCCAGCATCTTCTTATGCTCAGAATCATCATTTTTTTTCCTCATAAAGCTTCTAACACAGTTCCTAAAGTACTAATTCCAAGCCACAGGCCTAGGACAATATTCTTAGTCATCATTTAGAATTTTCTGAGTCAGGTTTTTAAGGCATTCTCTCAACTGGTCAGAGGGTCGTTGTGAGTATTAGTTGACTCAATGGCATACAACAATGACATCATCAACTAGTATTCCTTTTGGCATGAGAATGTAATAATTCAGAAAAACTATCAATTCAAACCCACCAATTTATCTAAGTAATAAAGATGAATACTCTTCTTCCTGGGATATTTACAGTCTCAGAAACCAAATGGAGGGTCTCACGGTTATGGAGATTTTTGTTGATATTTTTTAAAAATAAACTGATAAACTGTGTGTCCCTAGAAGATAAAAAACAGTTCAAACACATTTAGAGATTCCTCAGAAAACAGGTCTAATAATTTGTTTCCAAAAGGTCAGAGTCTTAAAATCCCAGTGTAGCCGTTCTATTCCATGTACATGTAAATGTACATTGAAATGACTCAATGGTAAGTAACAATAATGAACTAGTCACATTCTCACTTTAAAAATTAATCTTCTGAGCTCATGGTCTATTTTTCAACAATATAATAGCTTATCAAATTCTAATATCTATTTTGCTAGATTCATCACTATTTTTATTCATCTACTTCACTTGCTCAAAATGACCTCCTCTTCTATCCCTGATTTATATCCGTTCTCCAATATTGACAAATGTTAAGTTTCTAAAAGTGTTCTTTTAGTGTTCACACTAAAGTGTTCACATTGCTCACCATTTTCTCAAGATTGACTTGAGGTTCAAGTTTTGTTGTTGTTGCTGTTATGTCATATTAAGTCACCTGCAACTCATAGCAACTGTATGTACACTAGCTCAGAACTCTGCCCTATCCTGAGCCAATCTCATTGTCTCTGACACACCTACTCTCATTATCCCAGTCACTGACTCAATCCATCTCATCAAGGGTCTTCTTCTCTTTTGCTGTCCTTCCAGCCTTCCAAAGTATGTCAGACAGATATTCAAAATCCTTACCTTCAAGGTACAGCCTGGTTTTGGATTTGGTGGTTTTGAATTGATGCTTTTTCTGAAATGGTATATTACCATGCCAAAAGGAATAATAGTTGATGATGTCATTGTTGTATGCCATATAGTAGACTTGTTTGTTCTCTTAGCACTCCATGGTACATTTAATACTCTTTTCGAGTGCCACAACTCAAAGGCATTGATTCTTTATCTATAATTCTTAGTCATTGTCTAGCTCTTTGATAAATAGCAAGTTTTTGCTTGATGTTGTTAGGTGCCATCAAATTGACTATGACGCATAATGATCCTTCATAGTGTATGAGTCGTAGTGTAAGGTTTATATTGATCTGAATTTATGATATGCCCTCTAGGCTTTAAGTCAATTAATTTTCACCTTTGTGTTTTTGTGCTTTATATAAATTGAAGAGAACTATAGAATATGTATTAAAAATGAAATCATATTTTGCATGTGTTGATACAGGAATAAAAATACTGTAAAAATCAATCTTGGCTGAAAGTTTACAGGCAAAAAAAATCTTACAGTTTCTCTTTTGCAGCATATTGAACATTGTTACCTAGTCACTTATACTGTATTTGTTTAGGGCTTCTCCATTCACCTTTTGTTTAGTTTTCAACAGGTGATTTCTTATGCTCATTTTGGGAAAACATTTTTTTCACAGAAAAACATAAAAACAAGTTTTCCTATTAATTATTACTTGATGCAAATAATAATAAAAATTAATAGTATTATAGTCCATTGAGAGTCCATGCTTTGATTTTTACTTAATCTTCTCCCTCGCATCATTGAGGGAGCTCTGGTGGCCTCGTGGTAAGGAGCTGTACTGTCATCCCAAAGGTACATGGCTAGAATCCACCAGCTGCTCCACAGGAGAAAGACAGGCAATCTCCTCCTGTGTGATTAAACTAGCTCTGAAAGCCTACTGGGTGATTAGCTATGGGTAGGTTTCAACTCGACGGTACACAACAACAACAATACTATTTAAAGACTTAGTCATTATGTAATAATTCGGTGACCTTAGATAATAAAGATAAGCTTCCTATTACAGTTTTCTATTAATAAGAATGATGGGTTTATAAGCTATCTTCTTAAACTGTAATATAATAGATCTGCCTGATATTCCAAAGACAAGACATGATTTCAATTTTGGCTGCACAATTTTTTAATAAATCTGAGGAAAAAAGCTTCCCAGCTGTTACCTGACATAAAGGTTGATATTTTTAAAATGATGATCAAAGGTTTATGACCACTTTAGTTGGGGTACTATCTGATTTTCCAAGTATCTGAGATACTAAAAATTGCTTCAAGGTGTGTTATAAAATGTGTGAATTGATGTCCTAAGACAGTAACATAACTGCTGTTCTACAGGTGTCTCGAAGTGTATGTATTAAACTGTCATTTTGTAGACCACTTGACTGGAAAAATATTAGTAGTTCATGCAGCTCATGCCAAATTAAAAAAATACGACTCAGTGTTTTAAAAAAATTATTCCACAATATCCTTTGAAAAAATTTATTACTAATACCTAAAATAGAACTTGCTAATTGCTAACTCTACCTTCTTCCTCTGTACCTGGAAATTTTAATTAAGAAAATTAGTTCAATTGGTATGTAATTTGAGGTTTTGTAATTTAACTTATTATTTCAGGCTAGTAATAGTATGATTATATCACTGTATTTAGTGACATGGTAGAAGGAATAAATATCAAGTTTATCAATCTCTCATGACTCCAAGTCAAAACGTAGAACATGTTTTCATTAGAATTAAAAACCATCCTTTAGTTTATGTATATTGAGGAGAATTTGTAACAATATTAACCACAGTATGATTGCTAAAATGACACTCACATTCTGAAGATAGAAATTTAAAAAATTATATAAAACCTTAAGATGTGTTTACAATATTAGGGCCAGATATCCTTAATAAAATATAAAAACACAATATGATATTTTATAAAATGAAATGGACAATTACTTCTGTGGTTTAATTGTAGTAAACAGGCATTTCAGAAGATGGTAAATGTTGATGCTTCAATACTTGAACAGTTGCAATAGTTAGCATTTCTTAATTATATCATAACTGAAAGATTTCAAAATATTATTCAAAAGACTTAATTCTCATCTATGTTAGCAAGATCTCTTGGGAATATTAAAAGAAGAAGATTTTGACTAGATGAAGTCCTGGTCAATTCTAGAGCAATAATTATCTCTTTTTTTTCAGTAATATATTTAGAGGGCATGCCATTTGTGTCTATCATATGTCCAGTGTCCGGGCTGCTTTTAATGGACCATATGCCCATAAGGAAGGACCTGAATACCATTGGTCAGTCTATGAAGGGAAAGTCCCTTACCCCAGGCCTGGCTCTGTAAGTTTACGAATTTAATAAAATCTTCTTTTTTGTATACTACTTGTTCACTTTTTCACATGCTTAACACAACTTTGAAATTAAGTAATTAAGGAATTCTACACCTAAAAGTACGCATGCTTCATTAACAGCATGGCCATGAAATAGTCTCATACGAAAATGTATCTTGTCATTTAACTAGCTAAATATGACCTATAATGTAAAGATCTTAGCAATGTTATGAATTATATTGTCATTACTATTCCAGCTATCCAGCTAGCCCCAACTAAAATGTTATCTTTAACAGTATTCTTAATACAAAAACTTCCATTTAAATGACAAATATATTTTTCAAAGAATTAACACCTCAACTAACTTACAAGAATGAGAAAGTTACTAAGCTGCTGGTGGTATTGTCCTTAGAAAGTTGCCCTCTTGTCCCAAAGGCAGTACTTCTCCAGCAGTTTGAATCCACCAGCTGCACTCAGGAGAAAGATGGCCAGTCTCCTCCTGTCAGATTTGCAGCCTTGGAACCTCCCTAGAGATTCAGCTATGAGTCAGACCCAACTGGATGGCAGTGGATGAGGGAGAGAAAGAACGAGAACATTTGGGTCAGTTTCTAAGTTCCCAGAGCCATATTTTCTCCTCACTTCATACACACCAAATCCCAGAGGAGCTTTTTTATGTATTCTCTCAGAATACCTAGCACCTTATTTGTCATGCTTACAGGCCTCTTTAGATACAAAGTGCCAACACAGAAGTGTTACTGAAGTTTAGAGAGCTCTAATGCTTGTTTTTAAATAGCCTCTTTAGCCATTCCAACTTTGGTGCTGGTAAGTGGTATATAAAAATCGAAGTGCTTGATACTATTTTGTATCATGTACGCTGTGGGCAACTACATTAGAAAAATGTAGGATCATTGCCTATGCTATGTGAGCCCTGGGGAGCAGAGTTTAACTTTTCATGCAAACTGATGTCTACACTTTTATGGACAGCTGGTGAAATCTCATCACTAGACTGATTTCACAATTAATTGTAAGCTGGGTAGAAACCATTTGTGTAGAGCCAAAACCCAAAGCAGAAACAGCCTTACCTCCATTAACAAGTGTAAGGCCTTACCATTCCAACCATTCTCTCTCTCTCCTGAGCTTAAAATTATTGCTTCTAGTAAGATGTATAGTATATTTTATTTCACCCTATTGATTGAAATTGCAATTTAAACGGAGAAAGCTTATTTCTGTGGCTTTGCTGGAAATGCCTCTTGAAACCACATGGTCTTTAAGGAGATTTGGAGGAAGCGAGTATTCACTGAACTGCTTCCAAACTGCTGGTCCAAAATGTTTCCAATTATTATGAAAGTACACAAAAGAGAGAAAAAAAATCATGTAAAATTAAGAAACATAGTGCATTTTTAAACACACACACATATTTAAAATACTCTCTTTTCAGAGTCCAATTCTAAACCCCTGTGTTTATACTCTAAAGTGGAAAAAATTTATCAACATAAATGATTACAATGGTTGATAACTTTAAGGAAAATAAGCTAAATGAGGAAGTATTTGCTAACAAGCATGATCATATTTTTTAAAAAGTAGTTTCTTTTGCTGTTAAGAATTTGAGATTCAATGATCTAAGAATTTAGATGTTTCTGGGATTTCCTTTTATTATGTTTAATTCATAACAAAATAACATACATTGGTATAGATTGGTATAGTAGTAGAATGGAGAAAGGTTCTTTTCTCTCACCAATTAATAAAGGTAAGCTTTACGAGTTTCCTGTCCTCTAGAACTACGGTTCTCTTATTAGCAAACTAAGAGGATCCATCACCTCCCATGTAATAATTGTCTCAATTATGGGAAATCTATTTCTTCCCACAATAAATCCTTCTTTGGGAGTAAGATTCAGCAGAACGATGATACTTTTTGTTTTGATATAAGCAATCTCATCAAAGTATCTTTAATGTGAAAAAGTAAATTTCAGCAAAGAAGAGTGACATGAATATAATATACCTTATATGTATTTTTAAATGCCACCTCCAAAATCTTCCTTTGGATATACTTGGTATTGTTTCCCCCGTGCCCCCAGGATTTCACTAATTTCTCTATTTCTAGTGCTAGTTTTTTGGTATAATTTGATCACCCTTTACATTTTTAATTAAGATTTCATTTCTATGGTGAAGAATATGTTGTTAAGTGTTGGTACAAGTATTTCTAAAGATAATGCAAATCTACTATGTCAGAGTTCATTGTGCCTTCCATAACTGATTATCAATTTACTATTTAGTTTTCAAGGAAAAAGATTTATCCAGTCTACTTGTATTTCCAGTGTGCCAGCAAAGTGAATGGAGGGTGGTATGGAACCACAAAAGACTACCCGGATGATGCCATCCGATTCGCGAGAAACCATCCACTTATGTACCAGTCCATAAAACCTACTCTTAAAAAACCCATATTGGTCAAAACAGATGGAAAATATAACCTAAAACAAATAGCAGTGGATCGTGTGGAAGCTGAGGATGGCCAATACGATGTCTTATTTATTGGGACAGGTAAAAACATTATCATAAACTCACTTAAATTGACCCTTGATACCATTATCTTTTAGGAGTCATTTTAAAATCACCTGTCAGTAGTTCTCCTGTTGATCGAGAAGCCCAATTATACCCTGCTGGTAAGGAGTGCTGGTGATATAGTACCTATTAACCAAAAGGCCTGTGTTTGGACCCAACAGTTGCTCTGCAGTTTCTTTTAATAAAGAGTCATGACCCTGGAAATGCTATGGGAAGATCACAGTGCATCAGAATCAAAACGGTAGCAATGAGTTTGGTTTTCATTTGGTAAATGAAGAAGGGGGTCTGTCAGGGATGTATTCTGTCTCCATACTTTTTCAATCTGTATGCAGAACAGATTATCTGAGACACTGAGCTGTACGAAGAAGAATGTGGCATCAGGATTAGTGGAAGAATCATCAACAACCTGCATTATGCAGATGACACAACCCTGCTTGCTGAAACTGAAGAGGACCTGAAGCATTTGCTGCAGAAAGTCAAGGACTGCAGCCTCTTATATGGATTGAAGCTCAACATCAAGAAAACAAAGATTCTCACCACTGGGCCAATTGGCAGCATCAGTGTGGATGGTGAAGAAATTGAGATAGTTAACAGTTTTAGTTTGCTTGGCTCCAAAATCTACACTCTTGGTAACAGCAGCCAGGAAATCAAGAGATGAATTGCATTGGGAAAGTCAGCTGCGAGGGCCCTCTCAAGAGTACTGAAGAGAAACAACATCAGGCTGGAGACTATGGTGTGCCCAATCTGGGCTATAGTCTTCGCAATTACATGCTATGCATCAGAGTGTTGGACAGTGAATAGGGTTGATAGAAAGATAATTGATGCCTTTGAGCTGTGGTGCCAGAGAAGAGTGTTGAATACACCATGGACTGCTAGGAGAACAAACAGGTTTGTCCTTGAGAAGGTGAAGCCAGAATGCTCCTTGGAGTCAAGGATTCTGAAGCTTCATCTGGCATACTTTGGGCATGTTGCAAGGAGGGACTGGTCCTTGGAGAAGGACATCATGTTTGGCAGAGTGGAGGGGCGGCGAAGGAGAGGAAGACCTTCGATGAGATGGATTGATTCTGTGACTGGAGTGGTGCGAATAAGTGCATTTGAGATGGCTGGGTTGGCACAGGAGAGAAGAGTGTTTAGAGCTCTTGTACATAGGGTTGCTATGAGTCGCAAATGACTCAATAGCACATATCAACAACAACAATCCTAAGTGAGAAAGATTAAGAAAGTATCTGTCTATAATTAATTATTACAATCAAAGCTTTCACTCATAATAATACATAAGGGGGAAACACTAGTTTCAGATTTCATAAATAATGAAATATTGGAGTAAAAGCTTTCAGGACTGCTAAATACAAATCAATAGCACAAGTTACACTTTTGCTTTTTGATTCATGCAAATTGTGGAATATTTATTATGTGGCACTAGTTTTTAAAACGGATTTTTGTTCTTTTTCATTTCCAACATAGTTAATCCTGAATACATTTAAATAAATGAATAATTGATGTTGATGACAGTGTTGATTCCAAATAGTACTTCTCATACAGGAAGGAGGGAAACTGTTTCTCCTTTCAGTCAACCAGCCCTGTTGCAGCCTTTGGCTGTTCAGTGAAGCCTCAAGATCTCAAAAGCTGCTTGAAGCAATAACTTCACCTTACTACAGCCAAAATCATTACCGTGCCTATCAAACCTCATCAGAATCAACTCTTCATATCAAACAAACCCCAACATTTTCAAGATCAGAAAGCTCAGCAATGCCAAAGCAAGGAATTACTCTAAGATAGGACCAATTTCAATCTCATTTAACAACTATCCTCTTATTTAGAGGAAATGTGATGTTAAGGCAACTATATCATGTGCTTACAAGCTTTATGCAAATTATTAATCCCTGAGGAGATATTTTTCTCTTTATCCTAACTTTAAAGCAACCACTAAGCAGAAAAAAACTACCATCACAAATGTGTCTACTGCATTCACATCCGCTGACTTTTAATCTTACCTAATAGCCTCATTTTCTATAAAATAAATGAGAGCTTCAAATCTGTATGACATTAAGCAAAACATTATTGAACAATCTCTAGTTAATTTTGGCAGAATTCCTTCACAGCATAGTGGATAATAGAGATAAAGCTTTAAACTAAGCCTGGAATATATTCTCTTAACAAAGAAGCGTAAGTGTTTCGGAGACAGTGAGAATGGCTCAGGACAATCCAGGGTCCAGAGCTGTTGTGCCTAGAGTTGATATGAGTTGCAGGCGACTCCACAGCACATAATAAAAACAGCAACAATTAATTAATTAAAAGTTAAATTTATCAAATTTAAACTTTCAATCTAATATTATATTGTATGCATAACATATAGGAAAAAAAACCCTAAGAATATTGGCATCCGTAAGGGAGATACCAAATAAAAGGAACTGCTTTGTAATTCTAAAGTCACTTAAAAATCTTAAAAAGGACGATTCCTTTCTTTTTCTAATGCACAGTAGAATTTACTGTTGTCAGTTTTGTTAGTTGCCCTTGAGTTTATTTCCACAGGAATATATTGTAGAAATGGCTATTTAGAAGAGTGGATAGTCTACTGTATTTCCTTTTATTCATAAATTCTGAGGAGACACTACATATACTCAGAAGACAGAAAAGAATATAGTATATGAGTGCTGGTGCTCGGGTTCCTCCTAACAGATATATTAAAAACAAACAAACAAAAAACCAGGAAACCTAAAGATTGAAATAAAAAATTATTTTAAAAAAATTTAATATGAATTATTTATACATTTTAGGAAATTTTTATCAATGATGTGTTCTGCACTATGAGTTTGGGTTGTCCAAGTATCAGATCTCTTTAGCAAACTTGTTATTTTCTCGTGCAAATACTCACGCATACTGATCTCCATCAGAGTTTGAAAAAATTACATAAGAGTGACTGCTGATCAAATTATCATGAAAAAATTATGTTATTTCCAAATATAATGAAAATTAGAAGCCACATTTAATGGTTGAAGAGTGTTTTTAGAAATGCTATCTTGTCCATTTATATAAAGCTGTTTGAGAGAAATCCCAAAATATCAGTTATAGGATTGTGCTCTCAGAAAAGCCGTTTTTAACTCTAAGATTTTTGTCATGCTGAGCCACAATTTTTTAGTACAAAAGAACATGTTTGATGAATATGTGATGAGTGTAACTTTGGAAGCTGCAACACATGATTATTCTTCCAAAAGTTGTCAGGCAAATGCTTTTCTCCACGGTATGTATTCCTTAAAGCATACTCACTAGTTGCAAATTAATAATTTGAATTTTTTCTTTCTTTGCCCAATATAATTCTGAATTATTTACTCTGTTGATCAATTTAAAAATAGGTGATCACTTTTATTTCTTTTGCTTGGTTTGCAAAATCATTAATTAATTTCATTTAACTTTAAACTAGTTTTATTATCTCAACTACAGATTTTGATATTTTCTGAACATCTGTGCTATAGAAACTATGCCATAGAAATTCTTGGATCAGGATTTCCACAGTCATTTAACTTATTTGTGTGAATGTGTTGTTATGCCTTGAACTAGATTAAAATATTATTATAGGAAAATACAAGCTTTATTGCATTTTTAGTTTAAGGAGAAATAAAAATAATATGGTATTTGAAAATGCTAGTGAGCTCAGGTGGCCAAGTGGCGAAAAGCTGCCTGCAATCCCGAAGGAATGCGGTTTGAATCTGCCAGCTGTTCCACAGAAACATTGACGATCTCCTCAGGTGCAGTTAACTGTTTCTGAAAACCTGCCTAGGGCAGGCCGGTTCTGACTCTATATTAGCAACAACAACAACGGCTTTTATAATAATATAAGAACAGAACAGAA